GAAAAATAGTGATGGGGTGCTTTAAGTAAAGCTTGTTTGATGAGCTTGATGCACATGATGCTTTGGGCGCTTTGATTAGAGTGGCTCTTGGAGCCACTTTAATTACAGCTCTCCCTCCTCTACCACAGAGCACACGTATAAATGCCCAAAGAGTTTCCTCTGCTTCCATGCTTGTTGGTGCTGTATTGAGGTAACAGCCACCTCCAGGAACTCCAAGCCTGGCATCCCCTAGTAGTAACTGGTCTTTCTGCCACACCTGTTAACCCACAGTCAAGAATGAATCCAAGCTACAAAGCCATCCTCCTTCCAGGCCATGGGCTGGAAGCCTGTTTCAGTGAGCCTATGAGGGGTGTCTCAGGGTACACCTAGCTGTGAACAGCAGGTTAATGGTGGCTGCTTTCAAACCAGAACTTGCTGTGTCCCAGTGACAGCACCCATGACACATCATGTGACACGCAGGCCAGTGCTGCCTGTCATGATTGTACCATGGTTTGGAGATGAGTAGTTACCTGATACACTTATCTGTCCCTGAGTACAGCTATGCCAGGTGGGCTGAGGGAAAACCCCTTTGTGGCACAGCGTGGCCCTGAGGTCACCCAGCCCTCTGCTCCTTTCCATAACTCATTCAGAGTCTAGAGCACTTCTGGTGCCATGTTCTTTCCCGGGGCCAGGCTAGAAGAGCTCTATGAGGCACAGTCAGTGCTGGCCCTACCAGCCCAGCCCTCTTCTCTTTGGGTTTCCAGTTCATTCCTGTTCCAGGTCATCAGATTCCCAGTTCCTCTAAGTCAGGAAGCACTGCCAGTCCCACTCCTGCCCCTGGACTTCTCAGAGGATCTTTCCTACACATCTTCTCCCATCCTGGAACCTGGGCTCACAGTATTCTGGATCCCCTAGTTCTCTACTACAGGGCTATGCTGGGGTTGAACAGGCTCCCACAGTCTAACAACAACCCCATGTCAGGCCCATCCAAGTTCTCCTCAGTGTCACTTGACATCTTGGCTCCATCCTGATCCACAGGCTGTTCCTTAGTAACTACTTAGTCCCAACTCTGCTGTCCCCTTAAATATGTATCTCCCTAAAGAAGACACACATCATGGGACTGGGCTGGCTGGCCCCAAGACCTGCTACTTTTTTAAAGGGGCAGACCACACTATTACACTGGAATAAAGATGCCTCCTATGTGTGTAGCTTATTCTCCATATTATATGTCACGGTGGCCCAACTTTTTAAGCAACTTGTGGGGGCTGCAAGCCAGGCACAGGCACCCTGACCTCACCCTCATTTCCCTAGCTACTGGCTCCCTTGATGCACCACACCAGTGGGCATCCTGGGCTGTAGGCTTTGTGAGCATCATGGGCTGTGCTTTCTCCCCACCCCGTGGGGCAGGGGTAGGAAGTGGAAGCCAGAGGGAGTAGGAGCCCTGAGACCTCAGCTACTGCTGCAGCTAGAGCAATGAGGGGAGTGCCAGCTGGGTGAAATCCCAGGGGTTACCAATTAACTCATGGGGCCACCAGTTGGGCAGCCCTGTTATATATCATTGCTATGTGTTATCTGGAGTCCAGTCCTGCCTGGGAGGCCTAGTCTTGAGCCAGCACCCCAAAAGGGAAGTCAGAGCAGCAGAGAGCACTCTTGCATTAATGGGGTCTTGGCTCCATGACCCTATTAAGTTAGGAGTAGATAAAATATGGGCAAAGCATTTTTAAAAGTAGAAAATGCATTCCCCCTGCCCCCACCTTGGTCCCTCCTCTGAGTCCAGGCCAATGTGCAGCATGGGGCAGTCCAGGCAGGACCTTTCACAAGCCAGGGAAATCACTGAATCCTGCTTGAAGCAATGGCTTGAGACAGGGCACATTTAAAGGTCTCCTGGTGCTTGTTCACTACCAGTAGCACACAGCCCTGCTGTCTGTAGGCCTGGGACACAGATGATATGGACACTGCATTGTTTTTTAATTTGATGTGTTACCAAATACAAATCCTGAAAACAGGAGTTATCACTAATAACTCCAACTCTCAAACAACCATCATACTGACCAAGTCAGCTGGAGACAGGCTGGGCTACAGCAAGGGCAGTAACATGACTAGGGGTGGACAAGCAGGGCCCTAGCGCCAGGCACTGTTAGAGGGGTGCCAGAATGGCAACCCCCCAACAAAATCTGTGCTGCCACCACCACGGTGCCAGCATTCTGGGAGCTCTTGCTGAGGCAGCATCAGCCGCCATTGCAGCTGCAGTGGCCCCTATGCAAGGAGGTATGTGCTTGGCACCCTTGTCCCAGGGCAACAAAATGTCAAGTTACACCCCTGAGCAAGGGCAATTTGCAGGGGTAAGGTGGAAGCTGACTCCTGTCTCCAGTTCAGCCAGCCCTTCCCCAGCTCATGTTCTCTGTTGCCATCATGTGGCAATAACAAAAACTCACTAGCTGCTTCATGGCTTGTTTCATCATAGGTCTTTATTGAACACTCATTTTCCTCATCCTTTCACGCACCAGGACTCATCACTGTAGGGGTGTTGGGCCCAGACCATCCACTGAGCAGGCCATAATAATCTAGCCCCCAGCAGGGAAGGGGAGAGCACCTGTTTTGGGGACCTGAAGAGTTGAGTGCAGAAAGATTGGGACCAGTACCCATAGAAACACTTTGTCACCAGGCCAAGGGGTGACTCTTCTTCCAGGGCTGCCCTGGGGGACAGGATGACCTTCTAAATTAGGGGATATAAGCCTGGTGGGCAGCTGTGGTTGCATCTGCCTGGAGGGGCTGGCTGACAGAGACTAAAGCCCAGCTGTTATAACTCAGGAAAGAGACCTTGGAGTCCTTGTTGATAGTTCTCTAAAAACGTACGCTCAATATACAGCAGTGCCAAAACAAGCCAATAAAATGTTGGGCATCATTAAGAAGCAAATTGAAAACAAAATGGAAAACATCATCATACCACTATACAAATCCCTTGGACATCCACATCTTGAGTACTGTGTTCAGTTCTGGTCTCCACGTCTCAAAAAGATGTAGTAGAGTTGGAAGAAGTACAGAGAAGGGCAACCAAAACGAGCAGGGCTATGGAGCAGTTGAAGGAGAGACTAAAAAGGCTAGGACTCTTCAGTTTGGAAATGAGAAAGCTGAGGGGGGATGTGACAGAGGACTATAAATTTATAAAGGGTGCAGACAAAATGAACAGGGAACTATTGGTCACCAAGTCCTAGAATACCAGAACTAGGGGGAACACACTAAAATTAGTAGCTGGCAGTTTAAAACTAACAAGATAAAGTGCTTTTTTATGTGAAATGTAGTTAACTTGTAGAATGAATTGCCGTAGGAGGTAGTGGAGGCAGATAACATAGCCAGGATCAAAAAGGGATTGGATAAATTCATGGATGATAGATCTATCAATGACTACTGAACAGAATGGTTAGAAATGTTCCCTCTGGCATCTTTAAACCTATAATGGTGGATGTCAGGGAGGGTACTGAATAGAGGATAGATCACTCTAGAGACATTCACTTCTGCCGCTGTTGGAGACGGGATACAGGGCCAGAGAAACCATTGGTCTGATCCAGTATGGCAATTATGTCCTTATGTTCCTAAGGGTAACACAGTGGTACAGATCCTACTGGAGGGAAGGGCTAGAGGCATGTGCCCAGGAGCAGGAGCTCAGGAGCTCCCAGCCAGTGACAGCTACAAAGTTTTACATGGCCCCATTGCACCATGTCTGTTCCTATAGAACCATGATTCAGCTTGCTGAATCAGCACAAAACACCCCCTTTCCTGTGACTCTGCCCATCCAGTAATTCTGCTTAATCCTCTTCCCCAGCCAGGCAGTTCTTTCCATTCCTGCACCAAGGTGCCCAGGTCACACTGTGCCAGTTGCATTGTCTCCTCCTTGCTGTGTGGCTGTAGCTTCCCTTATCACTAGAACCAAGCCCCACAAACCCCCTGGACCCGAGTGCAGGGAGAAGGGAGGCTTATCAGAGTTCTGTCTCTCGCCCAGAGGCGGGCCAGTAGCTCCATCTCAGGGCATTATGCTGCAGTGGAGTCCCAGGGACCTCCTTGCTTTCCTTCATCTGGCTGCTCCCTGCCTCCTAGCTCCCATTCCTCATGGCAGGCCTCTTTGATGAAGGACCAGCTGCCTTGCTGAGAGGTGCTGGTAAGAGATGCTGAAAGTAGGGGAAATGCTGGATGGCAGCAAGAAGATGGACTGGACATATGATCCAGACCCTGGGCAGTACAATTCTTCCTGCCCCTGGCAACTTCTCCTTTGTCCATTGTACATCCTAGAAACCCATTGCTGGCCTGCGAGCCCTTCGAGGTGTTTGGGACATTACACAGGTACCATAGGTCAGAGACTGGGAGGGAAGGGGCAGGCAGGTGCCAGCACCTCAGGCCCAGTTGGGATGGTTGGTAGGGGAGGTGCCACCTTAGTGCTCTCAGAGTAGACTCTACTGATGGAGAAGAGGAGAAATGAGTGTCTTTCACAAGGTGCCCCAGAGAGGTTTTGGAGTCTCTGTCGGTAGAACTTTAAAGGCAGGTTAAACAAATGCTGGTCTGGGATGGCTCATGTAGGGGTAGCCCTGCATTGAGGAGGGGCTTACACCAGGTTTTTCCTCCAGCTGACTTTCCTCCTAGAAACTGAAAAATGGGAGTGGATCGGGGTCCTAACACAGAAGAAAAACCCAAGAGTAGATCAATCCACCTCTCTCCAGTGACCCAGGGATTTACACCCCCCACTTAAGAGACCACAGCACCACATAGATTTTCCCCGAGACACAAGAAAGCCTCCTGGGGAGATAGCACAGCTTCAGTTTTCAATGCACAGACTGAGAACCTGCAGGCATTGTTGATGCACTGGAGGCTTCAGCAAGGAATGTGCATCTGGGATGGGTAGGCTGGGTGGCATTCCCCTTGGAAAGAAGTCCTCATTAGCTCCCAGCCCCAGAGTAATGGTGCAGCTGGCTTGGGAAGTGTTGATTTCTGGTTTTAAGATCAGCTACTTAAAGATCAGCTACATATTCCTGGATACATAAGGAATATGCTTCTTGCACATTCCCAGAGGGCTCTGCTCCTGCATCCCCACCTTCCTTTCCACCATGCTCACAAGAGGCCCAGGTCTGCTCTGAGAAGAGCCCATCTTTTGGGACAGATTACACAGTGCTGTTGGAGCTTCTCTAGGCCAGTGATGACTCCCCAGCACCCATCAGTAGGTCTGTGGTGTCAGGATGAAAAGCCGATCCTCTTCCTTACGGATCCACTTCATGAGCTTGTTGACAGTGCTGATAGCACCTGCCTTGGTCTCCAGAGGGCTGTAGCATACATAGAGCTCAAAGGCACTGGTCACCTGGGGAAGGGGGAGCATACACCAGTCAGTTTCTGAGCACAAAGGTATGATTGTCTCGTAGTTAGAGTCCTAGCCTACAATGTTAAGGCCTGCTGCTGACCTGTAGGTAGGCTTCAGTTCCCATCTGTACAAGGGGAAAAAGAGCAACGTGTGCATGAAGCACACCACAGCAGAGGCTGAGGCATTCAGTGATGGGGGCCCTAATTCATGAACAAGATGCATTTGCCTATTCTGGTAATTTACATCAATCACTCTGCTCTTGGATGTTTAAATAATGAATACCATGACTTTACTACAGGGATCTCATTGGCTTTCTACAAACAGCTAATGTAATTAACTTTCCTCCATTTGAATCTCTGGTCTTTTACAAACTCAAAGTGATGCCCAAGCTATGCCCACTTAAGAGCTGCGCTGGGACTTTGCCAGGAGCCCAGGCCTGCAAGTAATTCTCATCCAATGGAGTAGATCCTATACTCCTTATCTTTAGTAGGGAAATGAGGCCTACGGAGATGACAGCTCACAGCATACAGTGCAGCAAGACATCTCAGCTCAAGCCAGAACACTGCATGCTGGGACCTGTAGCCCCTAGGGACTGTCCTCCCATATTAAAGAGGATGGTAGCTTTGGGCTGTGCTGCAGAATGCTGGGCTAGCCCTGTCTGATAAGTGACAGTTTGTCTACTTCTTCTTAGGACTGCCATGCTCCAGAGTATGGTGGGAAAGGTATTGTTCTGATGTGGCTGTTCTGTGACAGAAGTAGTATCTCCTTGTTTCCCCAACAATGCTGTGTCATTCCATAGACTGATCTGGAGACATGGGACTATTCCATAGCAGCATTACTAACCCGGGTGAAACCAGGGCCTCCCCACCACCTTTGGCACAAGTGGCAACCCCAGGCTCATAGTAAAACCTTAGAAATCTCTTGAAATGCACTGCCATTGAGACACTACATGGCTATGAAGCATCAGGGTCTGGAAGTTCCAAGACCACCCAGCTGCTGTGTGAAAAGACAAAGGCTATGGATACATCAGATGCTTAGGGATGCATTAAGGGAGCTTCATTGCAAATTTCTGGGTATAACAGGGCACCAGAGAAGCTGCCTGATCCTTGTGTTAGGATGCCTTGGTAGATTGTAACTGACCTGGGAATCTGCACAACTTTACTTCTCATAATGTCTGATTACCGAGAGTAATCAGACCGAGAGTCCTCCCCACTTTGAGCCTGACTTCCTTCTTCAATACCACTCCTGGAGGTCTGGAACTGACTGCAAGCATACCAGGGCAGGGCCACCCAGCCCAGAAGCTCTCTTTAACCCCTTCCTTGCCAGGTGCTAGCCAGTTCACACCATCACACTGGGTATCTGGGACATCATGGTTGCCCCCATGCTGCAACACCACAGTCAGCTGGAACTTCCTGGACCTGGGAGGAATGAAACTCAGATATTCCTAGTCTGAAGTCAGGACTTTGCCATTTGAGCCAAAGGAGACTGTCCTTAGCTGCAAACAGGAAAAAGCTATGAATCTCTCTCATACACATTAGATATTTCCAGGGCATCTATCATGACAGTATTTCAGCACATATAAGATTTAATTCAGAGGCAATTCCTTTTAGAGGACAATGGGACACATGTATGTGATAGCTGGATTATGTCAGTATCTTCTTGCTCTCCTGCCTGGTTATGTCATCCCTTAATAGGTATGTGATGGTCTTTGTCTGTCTAGTTACTGGTCCATACAAGAGGATAAAAATCTACTACTGTTTCTAGCCAAAGATAGTTCTTTAGCTCTTACTGCTTCCTTGCTGTGCTCTAGGTTCAAACACCCTGCTGGCTTTAATGAGGTTGTGGTAAGCTCTGTGGTGGTGCAGCAGTACGAAGGACAAGCAGTTCTTACCCAAGCCAGGAGGTTCTCATTGGGTCCAGTGAAGTATATATTCTTCAGGGGATGTGAAGAGTTGTGGGCCCGACTGTGTAGGTATTGATACAGCCCCAGCAGTCTCTCTTTCTCCTCTTCACTGACATAGGGACCCTCAATCTCAGGGCTAGGAAAACAAATTCATTTGATTAAACCAAGGCAAACACTGCAATGCCAAACAATGGAATTCCTCTTTCTGGGATAGCAACAGAGCCCCACCTGGAACTCCTGAGCTAGGGTTGGGCGATAATAGCTGACACAGGCCCCTTTTATTTATTTGTGTATTTATTTATGCAATGTATATGACACTTCTCCCAACAAAGGCTCAGGGCTTACATCAAGAGAACAATGTAACTTATACAACAGGAGACCAGAGAGAGAAAAGTGAGTGACAGGTGAGCCGTCATGGAGAGCAGAGACTGGACAGGATCATGCTTGTCACAGCTGCAGAAGATGCTGAGAAATGTCTGGCTGAGGCTGGGGGTAAGGAAAAGGTCCCTCAACTCCTGTATGTCTCTGTGGCTATGAGTATTATAACATGGAAATAACCTCAAAACCATGTCTAGAACACACTTTATCCTGTTTTCCCCCTGAGCTCCTCATTCCCTTCCTCCCTAGTTGACAATCACACACACTACTTGATACACTGCTCTATGCATGACCTTTCAGAGCATCTGAAGAAGTGATTACAGGCTCAAAAAACCTTATACTATATATCTCTGATTTAGTTAGTCTATAAGGTGCAAATCTGCCCTGTGTTATGCTGCAATATGATACATCCTCCTACCTGTGTTGGTCCACATGACACTGCCAGTATAGCCTATCAGCTGTTCCTATGTTATCAAGAAGTATCTTTGGTGGACAATACCAGATGATCCATCAGCAGTGGGGAACAGTACAGTGCAATAGAGTCTATTGGATAGACAGACCAAAGAGAACAGGCCAATAGAGTCTACTGAAGAGACCAAACAGCAAGAAGCCTAAGCAGAAGCTTGAACTTGTCTTCTGCCCTAACCATACAGGCCAAGGAACTAGCTAGGCTAGTTCAGGCTCTCTTGATTTTGTTTACCACATTTAAAATGCCGGGAGTTTGGGCCAGACTGGGCATCTCGCTCTTGCAAACAGCCCAAGTCCCCTGAATGGCAGGTTGGGAGCAGAAAGGTACCATCAACTTTCCCCATGATAGCTCTGCCAGCAAGAACAGAAATCCTGGGGGAGATTTGCCTTAGAGTTGCCTGGCTTGAGTGACAAAGATGGAGTGGGGCTTCATGCCCTGTGTACCTGAGATAGCTACATAGACACTTGCTGTCAGGCTGGAGGGAGGTGGTGGGGAGGAACCTGGGCCAGGGCAGTGATGGGAAAAGTCCTTGAAGCAGTTATAATAAGAGTGAGTGCATGTTCCAGAGCTGGGATTTCCTGGTAATGTTTCCCATCAGTGCTACTAAGGCTGCAACTTTCCCAACCACACAACTAACGGGGGCCTAGTGTGAACAGGGCATGTAAGCCACATTGTTGTGACCCATTTGAAGTGTCTGGATGGTGCAGGAATGGGAAATCTGGCAGCTGCTTACAGACTGTTTTCTCCAGGGCACCATTGATATCCATTTCCTTTTGAACTGTTTACTTCTGGACATCATTGGTATCCCTCAGGTGGAGCTTAATGGGATAAAGACAGTCTGGGAGTCCCTACTTTATGCTTCCCCATAGAAATGTCTTCTCCATGGGTATCTTCCCACCCAGAGTATGAATCACACTGAAGATGGAAAGCTACCTGAGAAATACCCAAGAGGCTCTAGCTATTAGGCAGCCCCTTGTCACTACTGTCTTGGAAAACCTCCACGAACAACCACTCTGCACTGGAATGCCACCCACCTGCCTACTGCTGAAGCTGCCCCATTAGTGTTCATCCAGAACCAAGGCTCCCTGAAGCCCCATAGCACATCTCATAGGGCCTCTTGTTTTCCTGATGTCTGCTGCCATGCAGCTGGTGGCAAACTCAGACCTGACTGTGGATGGCATGTGGCTCTAAAGGCAAGACCAGATTGAAATATAAACAGGGGTTTTGGCAGGGGGTCCCTGCTTGGACTTGCAACTCCAAGGCTGAGCAATATGTCTACTCAACAGTGACAGCAGAGGAAGGCAGGTGCTGACTCCCTCACAAATCTTGTTGCAGGTCATGGGTCTAAAAGCCAGAGAATACAGCCCTGGCCACTGGAGGGGTAGCTGAAAGTTCCCTCCAGTGCCTTTCAGGGTAGAGAGGGCCATAGGTGCCATCTTTGCTTTTTGCTGATGTACTCTTGCAGATGTAACCCCTACCACAAAAAACAGCACTTTACTTTTAACTTGGCACATTCCTGTGGTGAGCCACGCACATGCCTAAAAGAGCCCTGCTCATACCCTCCTCTGCAGCCTCTGTAAAGACAGGGTGCTTTAGTGGAGCTTTTCTGGTGCTTTTATCGAATAGCTGATTGAATCAGTGTTAGCTAAAAGTGCCAAAAAGCCCCGTGGAAGTGCATGGTATTTGTAGATGCTGCAGAGCCGGATAGAAGCAACATGCTGCTTCTTCCAGTAAAGCACGTTTTTTGGTTTTTTTTTAACATCTGCAAGTGGCTCTGTGGGTGCTGAGCACCTGCTAATTTTTTTCAGTGGGTGCTTGAGCCCCAGAGCACCCACGGAGTTAGCACTTATGCAGAGTACCCCAAGTTAGTCCCTTTACTATGGCTTCCATGCCCCAGTTCAGCACTTGGGGACATCACCTGCTGCAGATTCTCACCTGGTAAAGAGCCCTGAGCTCTTGGATTTGTAGATGAAATGTCTGAGGTCTGGGATCCCCACTTGGGAGATGCTGTAGAAAGGTGTGCGCAGTGCCTCCTGTAGGACATGGTACACGCCACGTTTCCTTAGACGCTCCTGAAATCTGCGCTTGCAGTCGGATACAGTGAAGAAGTCCTCACGGTCAGTGGAGACAAGGAGTAGGCACAGATCTGTCTCTTGCTCCAGATAGGAAATGTGGGCGTGGAAGAAGCCACTGGAATTGAACTTAGGTAGGCAGATGGGAGTCCAGGCTTCACCCTCCCGGAAGGAGGAGGAGGAACTGATAAGGTTAAAGAGCAAATGGAGGTCAATGGGGTGCAGGAACTGGTCCTTTTTTCTTACCAGAGACACCAGTTGGTTCCTGGACAGAAGGATAGAGAACACCAAACTTTTGGCTCGGGCCTGCTGGAGGCTGGCACTCACAGCATCCCGCACCCCGGCTGCCATTGGTAGGCAGCGCACAGCACCCATCAGGAAACTAGGGTCCCGTGCCATGAGGTCCAGCAGGTTGTCAGTGATGCGCTCAGAGCCTGCCAGTAGCCTGCGCAGATCGTAGTTCTGCTTTTGCTGGAAGATGTGGTTGAGCTGTGTCCAGGTCAGGAGGCTGAGGATCTGGTAGTAGATATAGAGGAGCTCATGGGCAATCTCCTGTTCTGATTGCTGGGTCCGAGCCACGGCCACCAGCACCAGAGGGCTCCTGCGCACAAAGACCACCTTGTAGCCATCTGTTCGGCATGGGAGGTCCCAGCAACGAGAAAGAGAGGGAGAAAGGAGGAAAGGAGAGGGAGGGAGAGGTGAGTCTGTGAGCAAAGTGCTGTTGGGAAATACCATGAGAGTGATAGTGCCTTTTGTGGGTCAATAGTGAAGAAGCTCAACTGGGATGTGGATATGATCATGGACTCATTTGGTAAATTCAGTACTCCTGGGCTGGATTCAGGCAGGGAACCCTGAGCAATTTGCAACTGCTTGCGTAACTTAGACAGTTATCTATTTGCATGTCCAGTTGGGGTCACTACACAAGCAATGAGGCATTTATGTGTGTGACTTAAAGTTAGCTGCATGTAGAAATCTGGCTCATTATCTGGCAGTGAGCTTCTTTTAAAACTGTTGCTCATGCCGTTCTGTAAAGTGGTAACTAAAGAAGCTCCTCAATCTGTGCAGATGGAGGCTTCTCCCCTTGCCAGATCCATCACAAAGTCCCTGCTTTGCTGTTTTTCTGAAGTGGAACAGTCATCTCCCCTAGTCCCTTACAGCGGTCCTTTCCAATCAAAAGGCCCACCCAATAACTTGGAGGTAACATGCACTTTATGGGCACCCCCAGATATGATGGTACCTGCATGGATAGATCTGATGGCATTCTTCTCTGCCTCCAGGAAGGACACCAGAGCCATCATCACCCCCATAGTGCTGGACAGCGCTTCTTCTGACCCATAGCGAGAGTATACTGGTTTGCCTGCTTCACTCAGCACAAACACATGTTTCTGATGCATGCGCCAGGCATCCATAGTCACATCCTCCTCTTCCTTTCCCGATAGCACAGAGTCCCGTCGGCATGTCTGGGGTGAGAGGTCCAGCTTGTCCTCCTTGCTCTGCCTCATCTCTTCCTCCAGGTCCAAGGCCATACCTGTCAGCTGTGTGCTGAGCTCACTGAAGTCCTTGCTGATTTGCTCCATATTGGTCTGGTCAACCTCGTCCCCTTGCCCTTCCTCTGGGCTCCTGGATGTGACACCTGCATCCTCAGGGCTTGTCAGGTCCTCGTAGGACCGGGCATGAACAAACATTGTCCCCTCCTGACCTGCCCCTAGAAACCAACAAATCAGAGAGCTGTGGTCACTCCCAGTCAGCTAGGGAAATCCTTGGGCCAATGCATGAATGCCCACCCCAGTCAGCTCCCCTTTCCTGCCAGATGCGTCAATAGAGCCTCTGACACCAGGACAACAATAAGCCCAGCTGGTTCACTTCCCCCTCCCTCCTCCCACAATGAGGAAGAAGTTAGCTTTATAGGGACCTATCCTCCTAACATGGCCAGTGTCACAAAATGATACTGCCTCTTTAAATAGGATGTGCCCATCTCTAGCTACAGGCTGTGCAGGCACACACAAAGCCCTTGATACTCTCCTGCAGCACAAAGCTGGGGCTGGTACCACTGCTTTATGGCCTTCCCTATCTCTACTTCAGAGCTGTAAGGGGACTTTAGTCAAGGCCACAGAAAATAGTCATAGGCAGCTAGAACCCTGCCATGACTGTGCTAACTGTGACTGCCCATAGTTTCTGGGCAAGACAAGGTAAGCCCCTGCCTCTGTGCCTGCAGACTTCCCTGGATGAGCCAGTCATCACCCTCCCCCAAGGAACATGGGGAAGGTGATGAGTAAGTTAGATAAGCCTGCTGCCAAAGGCCTGCACTGTCCCTTCTTAGCAGGCTCCCCAGCCAGTGGGCAGAGCACAGAAAGGGAGAGCACATGAGGTTACTCGTGTCACTCATACAAGGGCCAGTGACTATGTTTACTGAAAGAGAGGAAGCTATAGGAGAGCTGAGTACAGAAGCAGAGGAATACTTAATGGGCCAAGAGGGGAAGTCTGTGGTCTGGAGGAATAGTCCTGTCATGCCCATCTCTAAATAAGATTAGATCCTGTCTTAACATAGTGGGAATTGTTCCTGGGGACTGAAATGTGGCTGGGACCCTAGCATAGATCTCACTGCCCCCTGGGCAGAAAATTCAATGTTTAGACCCCATGACACTTTACTCACCATGAAGCATGCTCTGCATATCCAGGGCCAGGGAGGTACATACCTCTCCTGAACAGAAGCCAGCAGCCAGCTTGCACAAATCCCATGCATGCTGGGACAGCAATAACCTCTGCAGGATCCCCTTGCACCAGAATGTCTCCAGGGACAGAGACACAAGGCAATGTGTGAGGGATGCAACTCCTCTGGACTCATTCTGCCAAGATCCCTGAGAAGGGATTGGGGGACCCAGAATCAGCATGGAGTTCTTAGCAGGTGGTATGCAGGGCACCTGCGGGGGCGCTGCTCACCCCAGTCTCCGTCCCAATCCAAGACCAGCAAGGCAGGGGGGAAGAGTTCCTGGCCTCCCATAGCCAGAAGAGCAATTGCATTGCAGGGGTATGGTTAACTCCATGGAGTGCAGCAATAATTTATTCCTACCTGGTTCTGTTCCCTGTGCCAGTCCTGGGGTAGGGCTCTCAGACCTCTCTGTGTGCTGCCCATCTGCTGGCACCAAGGATCCATTGGGCACTTCCCAGCCTTTTTTCTTGTGGACATCAGCAGCCATTTCTCAGGGGATGGCAGGGACCTGCATGTAAATGAGACCATCAACCCTTTGATACTTTTGTTACCTTTCCGCTGCTCCCTGGCTGGGCAACAGAAGCAATGCAACACAGTGGACGCTGGGGCTGCTGCCCTTCATCCCACTGACGGGATAGGGATAGGTCAATGAAGTAGTGCCTGGGTAGGGTAGCACTGGTGGTATATGGAATCTCTGCTCCAAAGGAATACTTCATTTCAGCTTGCTTTATTAATGCCTGGAGCATCTTGGGGAGAGAGAACACCTGGATAAGGCTTTGGTCACACATTACATACAGCATGCTCATGCTGTGAAGCTACCTTCTGAAGCTATCTGTAAATCCCTGCCTCTAGAACCAGTTCCTAGCAACTGGAATGTATCTATAGGGGCACCCCTACAACAGTCAGGCTGAGATCATGTTCTGTATACCCAGCAGCAGGAAGACTTGAAGTTTTTTCTATAGAAGGGATGGTGCCTCTGGTGAAGGTTCCAAGTGTGATTAAAGGGTTAAAGACCTAGCCCATTTAGAAGGGGCATGTCCTTTAAGCAGCCCTAACAAAATTCAGGTAGGAAGAGTCTACACCACATACATGCTGAGCCTAGGAGCAACCCTTGTCTGCTCAATTCTGTCAGCGTGAGCCAAAACCA